TTTTTAATTTAATTTTTAAAACACAAAGTAAAAAATCACGAGCATGAAAAACTCAAAAACCTAAAAATGGAGGAGACAGAAGATCTGATCTTATTGAAAAAGACTGTAAGACATGATTATTCATACAGCTCGTGCCTTCTTCTCCTTCTTCTCCATCAACTCCAGTATCAAATTTTCAAGATTACTATAAGATAACCCTCCTCCCCCCTCCATTGTGCTCCTCGCCATCTCTTTAAGCTCATTGGCACGCTTCCTCATCTTCTCCGCCTCCCCTCCCTCTCCCATCACGTTCCTCACCGCAGCCTCTAAAGCCGCCGCCTTTATCACCGGCCGATCCTCCGATGTTATCCCGAAAACCTTCGAACCCACCGCCACTCCAATCTTCAGCACATCCACCAAAAGCCGCTCCTTGAAGAATTGCTCCGCAAAGAGCGGCCATGTCCCCATCGGCAAGCCCGCATTTATCCCTGCTAAGCACGAATTCCATCCACAATGTGTGATGAATCCGCCCACCGCCGCATGATTAAGTATTAGTTGTTGCGGCGCCCATCCATTGATTAAAAGACCTCTTCCTTCTATTCTCTGCATGTACCCTTCAGGAATCCAATCCTCACCCGCGTTTCGCACCGCCCAAACAAACGGATGGCTCGAAGCCTCGAGCCCAAGTTCCATCTCCCTCAGTTGTGCTGCTGTGAATGCACTTATGCTGCCAAAACACATGTACACTACAGATCCCTGCTTTCTTCCATCGAGCCACTTGACGCATTCTTCGCCTACTTTGGTTTCTCCTCGCCATCCAAACATATCCGCACCTTCTTGGTTGCAGAGAGTGGCAGGACCGATGAGCCACGCCTTCCTCCCCATCACTTTCCTAAAATGCTCCACATAGTCCTGCTCCAGCTCATAGAAACTGTTCACCACCAATCCGTAGCTGTTTGAATCGACCTCCTGCGCTTGATTGAAGATCTCGAGCACAGAAGGGATTGATTTAATGGGGTCTTCGACTTGCGATCGGAGTAGCTCGATGTGATGCGGGAGGTCGGGGAGGACGAAGGACTCTGCTTCTTGCTGTAGGTTCTCAATGACCTTATGCCTCTGGATGCTGTCAAAAGCACACCGCGCAAACAAACTGGAGCCGTCAAAAACGATTCTTTGTACGCCATTTTGGGCGCAAACTTGATGGGTCCATGGCAAGAAGAAGTCGGAGACAACGAAGTCTGGGCGGAGTTCTTTAAGGAGAAGGTCGAACGGGTGGTGGAGAAAGGCAATGCCTTTGATAAATTTGGATAGATGATCGTCGGAGAAAATGGAGGAAAAGCTCTCGCATCCCTCGGGGAGACCGGCGGCGGCTGAGGGGAAGGGGAGGAGGTGGAGGCGGATGGGAGAGGTGGCGGAGGAATTGAAGCGGTCGATAATGGGGCGAAGGAGAGTAGCGTTTGCGAAGGTGGGGGGGGGAGGGGCGGCTGGGGGGGCG